TTTTATGTTGTATAAAACAAAAATATTAATTTGAATATATTTACAAAGATTGGAACATTGGCTGATGTTTTGTTGAAAAAGAATATTTACAAAGAACAAATGGATAAAATGTTGTTACAATATGTATTCCCTGAATTCAATAGCCCTCATGGCCACATGAGAACTAGGGTATGTAAATGGAATCGGAAAGTATTTTTAAATTTGTAATAAGAAATTGTTTAATACAATGTTCATTTTACAGGCTTGCTGGGTGTTGCACTACTTTGCTGGAATAAAGTTCAAGCAGGACAACATTTTAATTGAAGCAGTCAAGCTTACCACAACCGCTCTTTTAAATGATGCAGAACTCCCTGTCAAAGTCGAGGCGGCAATTGCTTTGCAAAGTTTACTCCAAAATCAAGAGAAGGCACAAAAGATCATTGAGCCTTGGATTAAGCCAATCACATTGGAGCTTTTGAATATCATTAGACTGACTGAAAATGATGATCTGACAACAGTCATGCAAAAAATTGTATGCTGTTATCCCGAACAGCTTACCCCAATTGCTGTTGAGATGTGTCAGCATTTAGCTTCCACTTTCAGTCAGGTCTTAGAAACTGACGAAGGTAGCGATGAAAAGGCTATTACAGCAATGGGTTTGTTGAATACTATCGAAACTCTACTCTCTGTAATGGAGGATCAGCCAGGAATAATGGATCAATTGCAACCAATAGTTTTACAAGTTATTGCTCACATATTTAATCACAGTGTCTTGGGTAAGTCGCAGTTAATAATCGAATTAATTGAACAATAAATATATTCATTTGTTATTTTGTGTTATTTCAGAATTTTATGAAGAGGCTTTATCGCTTGTGTATGATTTGACAGGCAAAAGGATATCACAAGACATGTGGAAAGTTTTAGAGTTAATGTATGAACTTTTCCAAAAAGATGGCTTTGATTATTTTACCGATATGATGCCAGCTCTACATAATTATATTACTGTAGACACACCCGCGTTCTTATCTAATGAAAATCACATCTTAGCAATGTTCAATATGTGTAAAGCTGTTCTCATAGGTGACGCTGGCGAAGATCCTGAGTGTCACGCCGCTAAACTTCTCGAAGTTATCATTCTTCAATGTAAAGGACACATTGATAATTGTATACCACCTCTCATACAGTTAGTGTTAGAACGTTTGACAAGGGAGGTAAAAACTTCCGAACTTAGGACAATGTGTCTACAAGTAGTCATAGCAGCTTTATACTACAATCCAACATTGTGTCTCGAAACTATGGATAGACTCCAGGGCACTTTAGGACAGTCAACTGATCCAATTGCTTCGCATTTTATTAAGCAGTGGATTCATGATACAGACTGCTTCCTTGGGTACATATCAAACAATTGATCAAACTTTAATTTTTCAATTTGAACTATGATTACCAATTTTAACTTGCAGGCTTCATGATCGAAAACTTTGTGTTTTTGGTTTGTGCACGCTCATAAGTATGGGTCCAGCAAGACCAGCAGCAGTTAATGAGTGTGCACAACAAATAATCCCATCCTTAATTCTTCTCTTTGATGGTCTCAAGAGAGCATATGCCGCCAAAGTAGCAGTCAGTGAAGATGAAGACAACGATGAAGAAGAAAGTGATCTTGAAGAAGGTAAGAAAATTTTTAAATACATCTAAAAATTTGAGTCCATTTCATATTTACAGTAAATCATTCTTGTTTATTTTTGAAGTTCTCTCATCGGATGAGGATGAGATTGATGACGCTAGTCAAGATTATTTGGAAAGACTAGAAGAAAAGGTGCTGAAATCTCAACAAGGTCATATGTTTTCTGTCGTGAATTCAGCGCAACAGCCTGGGCAAGGTGAGCATAGATCAGATGATGATGATGATGAAGATTCTGAGTATGAAGCCAATGAAGAAACGGCTCTGGAAAGTTACGTTACTCCTCTTGATTCAGAAGATACGAATCAAGATGAATACATTGTTTTCAAAGAAGTCATGCAGAGTAAGCATTTTTTTAAAGCTATTTATAAAAAATTTTTATTAAATACCGAAAATTAGTTACCAATGATATAATAATATTGCAGATATTGAGAGGACAGAAACACCGTGGTATAATGCACTTACGAGTCATTTGACACAAGAACAACAAGCATCTTTAGCAGATATTATTTTGTTGGCTGATCAACGTAAAGCAGCTTTGGAGAGCAAGCGAATTGAGCAGAGTGGAGGCAAGTATTATTGCTGAATCCTATTGATGTTTAGGCTTGCTAAGTGTATTCACTTTGAATTAATGAATACGTATCACTGTATTATAGGTTATGCTTTCACATCGCAGACTGTACCTACTACCTTTAATTTCGGTGGAAAACCTGCATTCGGTCGGTAAAAAACTATAAACGTTTATAATGTAATGTAATTAAAAAAAATTGTAAGGTATGCGAATCGAATGTTCGTAGCACGCGATTGCAAATTGACGACCTCCAAAACAGTAATGCATTTCCTACTTACTATTTTTCTGTAAATTAAATGTACATTAGTAAGGTGATCGGACGAATTTGTATACATACATAGAAAATCATGTCGACATTTTAATCCAAATACGTGGCTCTTGCACTGTCGATTGGTCATATCGACCAGTACCAAATAAACTTCCATCGCTAGGCGATGCTATGTAACCAGTTACATAAAGTTAAATAGCAAATATTTGGACTCTAAAGCCATAATTTATCGCGGATAGTGAAATAAAAAGCAAGGCGTGTGATGATCTTTGGCCAAGTTAAATTTCTAATAAACTTTGCCCCGCATCGTTGAATCAGACTTTAAAAATAGACAACGAAGATCATCTTTGAATTAATTGGGGCTTTTACTATGCAATGTTCTAGTGATGTTTTTACTGCAACTCTTAAGGAGAAAATGAATAAACACTGAACTTTCTCTATATTTGTTAAAAAAATGGTAAATAAGGAATATGTTAAATTGTTGATGTAAAATATATTCAAACTTAATTTTTTAAAAGCAACTAACAATATTTTTTTTTATATATATAAAGCCTCCTCCATAAACAGGTGTAATTTGTGCAAGAAATTTTCTCAATCTGCGATAATTATAATCAGTAGGTAGGATCAGAATGCTCGATATAGTTACTGTCTAGTTGATACTTTAATAATCAATATCGCTATTGCTGAAAACCTGCACAATACTTAGTCCTTCCATAATCAATAATGAATTTTATATTATAACAAAGATTGCTTTTGACTGGTTCTCTTATTTTTTCTATTGGGAAAAGGATGCAGTGCAGTTTCAATAAATTTATTTTTCTGAAAAATGTTTTACAGTAGTATAAATTTCGCACTGCTCCTTCTTCCAAAGGTGCATAAAAAGATGTGTTAAATACATAAATTAATAAAGATAATAAGTGTGTATATGTTTGAAAAAAATGAATCAGTGGCAGTATATGTACAAGTGAGTATTCTATGCTGTGATTGTAAAATAGAAATCTCTTTGTACTAATAATTTCTTACACAAATGTTGATAGCTGAGAATCTGAACTCGTTTTTTATTAGCGTGATCGCTGTGAGTGTAAAATTACCTATACGTGCTCTTTTTGCTTTTCGCAAAAAATTAAATACAAAATCAAACACTGGTTGAAAAGGTTGAGTCAATAAAATTTTTTTTACACTGTAGAAAAACTTATTAGTGAACTTTAAAAGTGCCTTGAAAGGAATTTGAAGCTGGAACTTTATTAAAAGATTAGTGTTTCCTACTGTACATTGGACCGAGGTTGGGACACTTCTCTAGTTTGTAAGTCCCAAAAAATAAGTAATAAAATAACAACATAACATTTTTGAATACTGAGAAATAGTTAGAACAAAATGATGTTTTCTTAATTTTTTCACAAGCAAAAATCGGAATCGGGAAGAAGTTCTTGTTTACACGCGCCATTTTTGTAATAATTATGAATAATATCAAGATTTGTTTGAGTTTATCAAATGTTGATCTGGAGATGCAAACTGGAGGTAAGATAAAATATGGCCATAGTGATGCTTCGATATAAAAACCGAAGTTTTTAAAAACTCCTTTGATATTATGATTATTATTAAAATTATTATTAAATTAAATTGATACACAATTATAAATATTTTTCATTTTATTTCGTATTGTTTCCAAATCCCATGTTACTTTTAGAAATAATTAAAACGTTATTTAGTGGTAAACATTTCTTTTTTATTTTATCTGGTTAGAATGATAATTCTACATGTTTCATGAGTATGAGTTAGATTTATGCAGAACATTTCACTTAAAGGCAGAAGAAATACAAGACTTTCATACAATAGCATTAAGAAGTGAAAATAAGTTTATTTAAATATAAATTTAGGAAAGATGTTAATGTTTACTGCCTTTATAAATAAATTAGTTTATTGAAAAATAATATTGCTTAATTTTAACTGAACGAAAATTGCAACACATGGTATTCACTCCATAAGTTATAAACAAATCCGCACATATAACCATATGTATGACAATGTAAATCCTTTATTAATTCTGCAAATCTTATTGAAAAAAACATGTTTTTGTTATTGTACGCGATCAAGGGAATACCAATATAAATGATCTAATAGGGTGACTGGCCTAGTGAGAATTAAATCAAGGTAAAAGAACTTTTATAGAACAAAAAAATAAACTCTGAGACAAATAAATAGGATTAAGTATCGTAAAAACGGTTTACATGCTCCAAAAAGTACAAAACCCTAGCAGATGGATGGTTAATCTCAAACTAAAATTTGTTTGGCTTGTGTACATTTATTTTACAATAGAAAGAACTAAGTTGTATACTTTTGCAAGCATTATTTTCATAAAATATTAAACTCAAGCCGTTTTCCGACTTATTCATTCCACTACTGACTACTGATATTCGTGTCTCTATTAGACCAGTCATCTTCGAAATTCTTTTAATCTGTTTTCAAATTGCGAATGATTGAAATTACTTAAGCTATTCAAGCGAACTTCATGTACATCGTTTCTACGTCTGTCGTTTCCTCCGCATCACTCTTACAATAATCTACACGAGGGCTCGGCCACAATTTACGTAGTTTAATTAAAGTACTATATATAATTTAGATGATACAGTGAATTTATTATTAGCCAAAAGCATAAAATACTTGATGAATTAGATGTTTGGAGGCTTGGCAAGACGTAAAGAACGTAAGTATGTAAAAAGTGGACACACAGGCAACAGCGAATATACTACGCCGTCCTGCATTTCTCCAATATTTCATTATTTTCCCTCTGATCGTGAGTCTTTGTGATGGCGCGCATATTTTCGGCAATAAGGGAACAGTATATCACTTGAGACACCGCTGAAAATAAATTGCTCCCACGTAACCACCCCTCATTGCTTTGCCTACGTTTTGTTCGAATACCCGACGATTATTTTGTAATACTTCAGCAGCATCTTTATTCAAAGGATCCTCTGGATTTGGTTCCTAAAACAAAAGAAAAATTGTTAATATCAGTATTTTTAGATAAAGCACTGAACTCTAAATATTATTTACAGATATTTAAAAATTCTATTACAGGATTAAGAAATGGAGTTCAATTTTTCCCAAAACATGAAAGTATTTTTAAATATAGTTTTCAAAATTTTACAAAAGAACATATATTTATATATTGTTGAAAAGTAACATTTTTTTTGTTGTTTAATGCTTGACTAGTTTCAAAATTATCATTTGAAATATTTATAGAATTATTTTGTATTAATATATATATATCACTAATTTTCTTTTGTCTTAAAGATTAATAACAACTGTTAAATCATTTTGTAAATAAAACTTATAATACAGTATCCTTAAATGTTAAATTTAGATGAAGGTATATACTTATGAGTTAACAGTTTACAAGTTTCATCAACGTCACTTGTAACTTTGTTTATAATTATTGATAATAATAGACATCCATATTTTGAGATAATCTTACCAAAAACAGGTACTGTAATCCATAAACAATTGAGTTAATAGTAAGAACTGGTTTCCAGTCTTCCCTTAAAATATTTAGGCATACATTGCCATCTAAGTCAATATTTGGATGATAGACTTGAGTTTCACACTTAACCTTAGGTGGTTCGTGTGGATAATTTGGTCCAACCTTAAAACTAAATGTGAATTTTCCGTTTTTGTAAAATCCCTACAAAGATAAAGCTACCTTCAATTAATTGTACTTGTACAAGAAATATTTAACAAATTAAAACTAACCTCATCTGGACAGATAACAAGTTTAAAGTTTAACAGATCATCCGGGTCTGGAAACTCTGTGTTGCATGTTTTTGGTAAATTCAATTCAGTGATATCTATAATCAAATAACAAAGATCTTTGTAAACATAGTTTTTATTTTTTTATTTGCAGACATCATAAGGAGTAAAGTTAACAAGTATGGTGCAATGAACAGGTTTGACACAACAAAATGTTTAGAAGAATTATACAATATTTTACCTTTTTGAATTCTAAGTTGAGCAGCAGATGCTTTCTTTTGTGATCCGGCTTTAGGAGATTCTCCATTCTTACCAGCATTTTTTAAGGAGAATAATTTAATCATGGTAGGACTATAATCGTGTACTTTACGAAGGCATATAAATATTCAATATGCGGAACACGAAGTTGAACTGATAATTAGTTGATCACACAAATAAATTTCTGAATTTCTTTTGAAAAATGAATAAGTTGCACTTGTAATACTAACAATCACAGTCGTCAATGTTCACTAATAGTGAAATACCAAACGGATCTTGGATCAGGAAAGATGAGTTTGGACAACGAAATGAGGGAAAATTGAGTTCAGTAACGATGGAAAGAGAAAAAGAAAGGGATAGAGACAGAAGAAGAAAAAGAGAGAAGAAGAAATGTATTGTGTGAGATCACAAATGAGCAGTTAGTTAAAGTCGAAGTGAGTATCTTTGAGAAACGGCTGTGATAGGAACAGTACAGAACGTGCGACAGCAGATTTCGAGGAATAAGTAACTCGTGTTAGTTGTATTGGTGTCCGTGGCCTATGTGGATCAGCGCGCGCACATGCAAACAATCTGTTCCGATTTCTTATTTTAAGTTAAGCATTGCGCATGCGATGCGTAGCGGGTGATACGCAGTATACGCAATTTTGCTTTGAATGTTATTCTTTTGTATTTTGGAGTTTTTATTAAATACCAATGTTTCATAAGTTCATAAGGTCCATGTCTATAAAGTTCTATAACATTTTCGAAATCCACATTATCTGTCACATTAGAAATATAATATAAAATCATTGCAATATTCGGATTTATAGAAACTCTCTAAACGACGTTTATAACATGATTTTAACTATATTTGACAGAAATTCGAAATTAAATACACTAAATAAATTATTAATCGTTAGGTAGATAGGCCCTAGTGCTAGTAACCGTTTATAAAATAAAGACGATTTCACGATACATTGGATCTCGACTTTTTCATTCATTAAATTTATAACATTTTACAATATCAATAGTCAAGCATTATTGCAAAACGCAAACTAGTGTTGGATCAAGATGGCCTATTACTGGTGAAATATCGTTTTATTCTCGATTTCAATTATTTTATTCTATACCGAGTACAATTAAAAATAAAATTGTAAAAAATTAGATTAGATTAGATAGATAAAATATTTTTTCTATGATTTTTCATTTTTTTTTAAATTTTTTGTATTAGTTTAAACTAAATATCTTTAATTTATTCTCATAACATAAAATCTCGTATATCTATATTGGAATTTCAAGTATATTGATTTGTGACTGTTCATAAAAGCTATAAAGTGACAGCACCTTTATATACAAATATCTTTTTAAGTTCACAAAATAACATACACAACAATTTTTCATGAAAGTACTAGTCTCGATAAATTTATAGAACTATTTTATTTGTTTCAAATTAAATAAAATCCAGTTTTAATTACGCATATTTAACAGAGCTCGATAATTCTAATTCAGATTACGCGATGTACATTTTTTCTAAAATAAAAATAATCATGAAGTATCTGAATTTTCACAAAATTTTGTAAAAGGTTCAATGCCCATGGACCAGGTGATTTTTTCGTTTGTAATTACGGTGACTTCTGGATTGCCGTTGTAAGTATTGGAAGTACTCAGTAATCCACCAAAGCTTGTATGAATATTATCTATGAATCGAATTATATAATAATAAATTTTATTAAGTGATTGAAAAAAACAACGTCATCTATACTATACCTAAATTCCATTTCAAGCCTGTGGTGCGGATATCACTAGTAGACGTACCAAAAGGTATAAGAGAGCACCAAGTTTGACGAGCTATCAGCGCATCGGGAATATGTATTTTATGTTTACCTGGTTTTAAAACCCATGTCATAGAATTACTGGAAATTTGTATCACCTGTACACGTATTTTTTTTATTTATCAGAGCTGCTTGATAGAACAATTTTGAAACAAAATTTTTTCGTCTTGTAAGTTCATTTTTTATAAACAAACCTTTTGATTTAAAAAAACGATTTTAATTTTCATTAATTGCTACAATATACCTGTATGTGTGGATTCAAGATACTATCAGTCTTGTAAAGTGTGTTGATATTACTTATGATGTGATCAAATCGACCAGACGTGTCAACAAAAACGTAAATATGATCCAACTGTAAAATAAAAACTGTAGATATAAATTTCACATGTAAAACAATTTTCAATCTGAGTGTTGAAATTACATGAATATTATTTTTAGTAATATATAGGTGCAATTGCATAAGGGCTTTTGTAAAATCTGTGTCGGACTGGTCCGGCGTATGCAAAACGATAGCATCAGTTTTTTCCATCTGCTTCAAAAGCTCCGGACAAATACTGTCCATGTCACCTATATAAACAATTTGAGTTGACTTGTACTTAATAAAAACGTCAGATTCCAGTTTCATTCCATGAAATTTCATCGGATTTTTTGAATGAATTCAATTCTTTGTAAAAATATAGAATGTAAAAAATGAATACACGCCTGTCACAAGTGTTGGAACATAATCC